GTATCACGGAACGTGATGGGAGTGAGCGTCCTATCTGCATGATTTGCAACGCCAAGTTGAGCAACTCTAGTCTTGCACCGGCAAAACTAAAGGAACACTTCTTGAAGCTGCATGGAGACGGGGAATACAAGAACACAACACTTGCTGAATTCAGGGTGAAGAGAGCCAGATTCGATGAAAGGGCCACTCTGCCTGCTCTTGGATTTGTACCTGTTAACAAACCGATCCTGACAGCATCGTACGAAGTTGCTTACCTGATCGCAAAGCAGGGCAAGCCACACACCATTGGTGAAACACTTGTGAAACCAGCTGCATTAAAGATGGCGAATCTGATACTCGGAACAGCGGCCGAAGGTAAATTATCCCAAATTCCCCTTTCAAATGACACCGTCAGTGACAGAATAGAAGACATGAGTAAAGACATCTTGGCTCAAGTAGTCGCGGATCTGATTTCAAGCCCGGCAAAATTCAGCCTTCAACTCGACGAAACCACAGACGTTTCTGATCTAAGCCAGCTTGCTGTTTTTGTACGCTATGTGAAAGACGACATGATAAAAGAAGAGTTTTTATTTTGTAAGCCTCTTACAACAACAACGAAGGCAGCCGATGTGAAGAAGCTTGTGGGTGACTTCTTCAGAGACAACAATCTTTCATGGGATATGGTTTCTGCAGTTTGTACGGACGGAGCTCCAGTCATGCTGGGAAGAAAGTCTGGTTTTGGTGCGCTAGTAAAGGCCGATGCACCACACATAATTGTGACGCATTGTATTCTGCACAGGCATGCGTTGGCAACAAAAACCTTACCTCCAAAAATGGCAGAAGTATTAAAAACTGTGGTGGAATGTGTGAACTATGTGCGAAAAAGTGCTCTGAGGCACCGCATCTTCAGTGAGCTGTGTAAAGAAATGGGCTCTGAATTTGAGGTACTTCTGCTCCATTCTAATATTCGGTGGTTATCCCGGGGACAGGTGCTGAATCGTGTTTTTGCCATGCGTGTGGAATTAGCCCTGTTTTTGCAAGAGCACCAACACTGCCATGCAGATTGCTTCAAAAATCCTGAGTTCATTCTCATTTTAGCGTACATGGCTGATATATTCGCAGCTCTCAATCATCTCAATCAGCAGATGCAGGGTGGTGGAGTCAATATCATGGAAGCGGAAGAACACCTGAAGGCTTTTCAAAAAAAAGCTACCGTTATGGAAACGACGAACAGAGAACAATAACTTCGCAAACTTCCCGCTTCTGGACGACTGTGCAAGTAAGATCGAAGATGTGTCTGGAATCGGAGATATTTCTGTATCCACGGAACTGAAGCAAACAATTGCCACGCACTTAGATGAGCTTGCAAAGTCTCTCGACGGATATTTCCCTACAAGAGAGTCATATCCAGCATGGGTGAGACAGCCGTTCACGTTTGCTGTTGAAACAGCAGATGTCAATGATGAATTCCTCGACGAAATCATTGAAATTCAGCAGAGCCAGGTTCAACAGCAACTCTTCAGAACAACAACGCTCTCAACGTTTTGGTGTCGACAAATGAACAAGTATCCAGTTATTGCTAAGAAAGCCCTGGATTTTTTTATACCATTTGTTACAACATATCTTTGTGATCAATCCTTTTCGAGGATGCTGGACATAAAAACGAAGAAAAGGAACAGACTTTGCTGTGAAAATGACATGAGAGTGGCACTTGCCAAGGTGAAGCCACGCATATCTGAACTGATCTCTCAAAGGCAACAGCAGAAGTCACATTGATTTCCAGGTATGTAATTTGTTGTGAGTTTATGCATTGTGTTGGTTTTATTCTTTGAACAAGGTAATGTTCATGCACGGCTCATTTTGTGTACCAGTAAAAAACATATCTATGTCTTGAATTTGAAAAAAATCACATTTTATTTTTCACTAAAGAGGGGTTCGGTGAATGCGCATATGAAACTGGTGGGGTTCGGTACCTCCAACAAGGTTAAGAACCACTGGGTTAGACCTAATTCCAGATGGTGGTGGTGACCATGAGGTTGTGGCCCTTTGAGGAGTGGTCCTGTGAGGATGAATATTGACTCTGTGGGATCTGGCCAAAGGAGGCGATGTGGTGACGTGAGGTGGCATCACTGGCAAAGGCCATGGTGTTCCTGAACTTGTATATTTCATCAATGTAGTTTGAGTCACAGCATGGCACATAGCGGGTTATGCAAGGATGACCGAGTGGGATGAAAGGTCGTGATGTTTTTTTTTAACCAAAATATCAGCAAGAAACCTTGGCTGGTGGTAACGCCACACTCGATTAGTTCATCACCTTGTCATGTGAGATCCACGATGTATGAATGAGGTCCCTTATCAGTGATTTCATTTATTGGCCACACCAGTGACTGCAATTATGTTTATCTACTCCCAGCCACACCCACAAACTATACAAACACAATTCAGACGAACTTACACATGCTAGGAACTTGGTGGAGTTGTGGTAAAAGGCATTTATTTTAAGGCTGAGTCTACCTAGCGGGATGGGGGTGGGGGGCAGGGCCAGTTGAGATAACCGCCATTGTGTTGATTGTGAGTGCGAATCGAACTCAGGAAACCAGGCTCAACAGGAGTGGGGACAAAGATATGAACACCCCAAGAGGGAGGCCATTTTCGCACTTAAAACACATGCGCTACAGACACACAAACACAGACCACATCTAGGGGCCAACCTTTCTGAGTCGATAGACAATCACGAGCGTAATTCAATCGGTCTGTGTTCAAACAAATCTTGGGGTGACCTCCCAAGCGAGGAAGTACAGCAGAGTTGATCACATCAGGCACCGGGTTGTCTGCAGAGCAGAGCCACTGTGTCACGCCACTCAGGATGATGAGTGGCATGACATTGAAAGGAGCTTTTGTCTCTGACATGACCAAGGGAATTAATTAAATAAGATAGATATATCTTAGCTGCATGGTGAGCCGACATTTTATATATGGGGGGGCATAGCCCCCCAAACAGCACCCCACACGCTCCCAGTGACGTCACCATACCTAACCCAGCACACATTATCCTGGCCCCGCACATCTAACGGTTACATAATGACCCCTCATGAAGTTAATCAAAATATTGCCATTGATTGAGTAAAGTAGAGCCAACATGAGGTGGGGGGGGGGGGTTCCGTTCTTTCAATTCCCCCAGTCCACGCTTGCCCACAGCCCTCTCCCAATCCGTTCCCCACCAGAATGCCCCAAGCCCCGCCGATGCCCCACTCTATCTCCTCGCCCGCTCCTCCCCCCTTCCACTGTTCCCGCTCCACTGCCCCTCTGATTTTGGCCGGAATCTTCTCCATGCCCATTAACCCACTGTCCATCTCCATTCCTAGCCCTGACGTCCCTTACATGTGCGCAACCCAAAAACCTGTTGGCGATTCCAATTCACGGTGTTGTATATATAGGCCTTTTCCAAAAATTAATATTAAAAATAATTCTGCCAATTTTTTAAATAATAATGATCGACAAAATAAATAAATAAAACACCCTCAAACCCGCTAGCTCCCACCAGCAGTTGGAGGTCGTAAAAGGCCATTAAATAATAAACTCCGGGGCAAAGGGAGGTTAGCGACTTTCTGCAAAATCTCCAGATTGCCAAAGGACAATTCACAAACAAACATCTATTTGATGTAATGCAGCCGCCCGGGGTCACCAAGAGGGGAGGGGGGCAATCAGGCGCGGCCGCGGTGATAGAGCGGACGGAGTAAGCATCTGTTTTTTTCCTCTCGCAAGAGACGCGCAGAGGGGAGATTTTTCGTATATAAACAGCAACACAGCTCGACAATTCAGCTCAACAAGGGACAGCTCGGCGAGCGACAGAAGAGGGCGGAAAGCGGCAGGCTCCGGAGTGGGCCCCGCAATCAACCGAGGATGGCGAGGCTTGCAGAGTAGCGATGTGTCACCGAGTGTGAGTTCAGAGCTGAAAGACAAAGTATCTCTGAAAGAGTTTTATTCTACATCGAGTGCCAGCTCCCAGCAGCAGCTGCAGCCCGAGAGAAAGAGTGACGAGCGATGAAAGCAATCGTCCACCGCGAGAGAGCACGCAGCAGGAGAGAGCGCGCAACCAGCACAACCGGCACAACCAACGCAACCAGCGCAACCAGCGCAACCGGCGCAACCAGCGCAACCAGCGAAATCAGCGCACCAAGCAAGAGTGTCAGCTGCCAGCAGACAAGCATTGTGCCGACTCAGCTCATACAGCAGGGGAAAGAGCCTGACCAGCCGCCCGTGAGCAAGGGTGTCAGCGGACCAGCGGCGAGCGCGATCGAGCATCTTCAAGGAGAGGGCATCATGCCGACGCAGCCCCTCCAGCAGTGGAAAGAGCCTGTATTTGCCAGCCGACGCCCCGAGCAAGAGCGAGAATGAAGCAGTTTGTATGACCCTCCCCCACATTCACACCTTCACGACGCATCACCCGGCGTCTGCTTTCCGAAGACACACAACACGCATATCGGGACAAATCAAGAAGGGTTGCTATTTCTAAGGTGGTGCATTAAATATCAACTGATAGTGAAGAACATTGCTGCCCATTGAGTTACGTGGATACGGTCATTTAGAAGTATTTTAGTCGTTCGTTTTTCCTTTTTAATTGCATAATCTTGCCAACGAATCTATTGACGTATACTTTTGCCTTTGGGGTATAATAATTGCTTTTATTGCTTTTTGTGTGAATATCGTCGCATTAATTTTTAAGGACTTTTTATTCCTATTTGCCGTATAAGCTCGTGTGCGGTTGCCAAAGTGAAACAACGCAACCATTGATGGTTTAATGTACTGCTCACTGAGGGAAAATTCCCCGATGGTACCAGGGGTAATTCCAAGCATGAGAATCGCATATTAGAGTGTTAAGGTTTTGTTTAGAAATTAAAATTGCTTAACACAGAAGTGTTTGAGTGTTTCTTTCCTGAGTTCATGCGTAATAATCTTAATTATAAGAACGGTATCCTGCGGTGAGATTTGAATTTGGAGACCTGACATAAACATTAATACATAATCAGTAAAGGTTAAAGCGAGAATAATTGCATTATACCGATTGATAATACGAACCTAGACAACGAAGGCGAGGTTAATCTGGCATACTTACAGCACACCTGCATAACTTCACACGATTAACTGTACGATCCCGATTGATGATACGACCCTCGTCAACGAGGTTGAGCCTAATTATCATAACTGTGTACATTAGCATAATCGCACACATTAACATAAATTAATACAATTAGCTCTCGAATTTATGCGCATAATTACATAAATTTATCATAATTTCAGATAAATACGGATTTTTTTTTAGTGAATTAAATTTGTATTATTTTCATCATATTTTCAACAACCAGCACATACAACAACGATCAACCTCCGCGAGCACGCCCGTCGTCTTTGCGTGGCGAGACAAACAACACGGCATCACTCACGCTTAAAAAAACGCTTCGTCCTATCATTTCCGTACCCTCTTGTGGGCACGTTATATTATATTTATTAGAGGCCCCATGGCACAGCAAAATATTAACAGTTGCTGTAACGCAATTGACCCCCTCCTTCTGAACACCGTGATTGAACCACTCTACATTCACAAAAGATAGCCGCAAGTACCTGGGCAACGCCGGGTATTTCCTGCTAGTAATTGATAAAGCGAGAATGAGTAAATGTTGAAAGTGAGAATCATTGATATTATCACGATTGTCAATACAAATCCCTTGACAACATGAAAGCCAATAATAAAATTTATCGTTCACTGAATTCACTAAATGATCTTGAATTCATGTTAGAATAACTAACCTTTATGATAATCGCTCCTAATAATCGACAACAATTAAATAAATATTGATTAAATATTGCAATTAACATTAACACATACACATTTGTCATTAATAACAAAATAAACATAATTACCATCCAATATTTTTCAACTATTTGTAGTTGGGGGACTAGAAGGCGGTGTAGGTGGTGAAGTGATGTATGCAGTGGTATTGGAGAAGGTGGTGGAGTGAAGTAGGTGGTGGAGGTGAAGATGGTGTAGGCGATGTAAATAACTTGGTGTAATTGGTGGAGTAGGCGGTGGAGGTGGTTGTTATTTATGGAGGAGCACGTGGTGTAGGTGATGGAACGAGCAGGTGGTGGAGAAGGTGGTGTACGTAGCGGGCATCCACATCGATGAACAGAGCGTCAGGCGACGAGCAGAGCGGTCCCCATCAGATGCAGGAGGAGCACCGGCAGAAGTGTGGTGAGAGCGGCATTCATCTCGGGAGCACTTCCCTTCGCCGTGGAGATGGTAAATTTGCTACAAGGTTGAGCTGTGGGGTCCGTGGGAAGCTTGGGGATCTTTTCGACGGATAAAATGGGGAAAAGCTGCATGTGCACACACACAAACACAGCAGCAGGGATGGAAATCGAGCAAAGGATGAGCGACGTGCCATGCCTTAAATATTTATTGATGGGAGTGGTGTTGGTATGAGTGGTGCGGGATGGATGGTCGGACTGGTGAAGCAATGTGGAGCAATGCGGATGAGGTATGCAATTTGAGTGATGGAGGGGTTCATAAAATGTATGTAATGGTGAGAAGTTTGGTGCTGAATGGAAGAGTGATGGATTGGTGACGAGAAACTGAAGTGCGTAGTTGAGCGGCGGGGTGGAATCGATAATCAGCTGTATCACGTTTTCAGGGGTTGAGCGGTGAAAACTAGGAAGAATGCACGGACCGTGCAACACTCATCCGCATGCATTTATCCTCAACACCATTTCATTGGTGATGGCGTTTTGTTTCAAGCCGCACAATGGGATGACGTCACAAAGCGTTAGGAGCGTTACGTCGCGATGATGATTACACTAGCGACGCCATCGGGGAGTGGGAGCGGATACAAAATGTAACCATTAGGAGGAGGTTTTGGGGAACGAGCGGGCTTCGGGAGGGGTAGGAAAGGGGAGCAACTCGTGCTCCACTTTGTTTGATACAGAATTATATTTATTTATACTTGGATACGATGAGCTATAAGGCTATTTTTCACATATGAACCTTATGGCGGGACCCCTGCATTTTCGACGTAATTTTATGTCTGTAGAAGGCGAACGATATGGCAATCTATTCCTCTCGAAGAGCTTTACATGATGCGCTAATCAAAGATGTGTTTCTTCTGCGCATTCGTCCTCACTGCGCGTGGACGACATGACAACATAATGATCCGCGCCAGGTGGGTCGCGGCGTTTATGTGCGCGGTCGGACGGAGTCGCCAAAAAGCAATTAATTACGATTTTGACTTCCGTTTATTTGGGATCCCGGGGTCCCGCCATAAGGTTCATATGTCCAGTAGATGGTGATGGTGGTGTTAAACTTGTCCACTCATCTCAACCAGTCACGTGATGCGGAAGGAAACGAGAACACAGCGCAGAATAACGTCGTTCCCAAATGCTTTTTTTTTAGCCGGCCAGTGGGGGAGAGGGACAGGAGGGGGCCAGCTACACATTTACATTCCCACACACAAAATGCAGCAATGGAACGACAGTTTAAACCAGTGGTTTCTTAACCCAGGGTGCACGCTGCACCACCTGGGAGGTGCCAGATGCCCTTTTCTGGGGGTGCGAGACATGGCCACATTTTTTTGTTCGAAGGTAAATAATCGAAAACACAAATTAAGCACTTAAGTTTATCAAACCCAATGTATTTATTAACATTCTAAAATAGTTTTTTTTTTACGATTGAGAACCAAAGGGGGTGCAAGGCTGCAGTAAAGGTTTAAGAACCAACCACTGGTCGAGACGCTCACGCCGCCCCCCACATCTCCAGTCTTGTCACCCCCGACCCATACTCACGTCGTTTAGGGAGGAGACGTATTGCGTTGCGTTACGAGCGGCACTCTCCACTTGGCAAACCAGCTGCTCGGTCCAGGGGATGACGTCATAGATTTCAAATAAAAAATATCTGAAGAACGCTTGTGGGCTGGTGATGTAATATGGCCATTGCCTGTGCAACGTTTTGGTCAAGGAGAGAGGTGCCCAATGAGGCATGTTAGGCTGTGATTCGTTTGTAATTGTTTTAAATCCTTATGCAAGTATAGTCTTCACGTGCCTTTTTTTTGGAAGAGGTAAGCAATTATATCAACTGTCTATCCATATCGCCTCCTCAGCCATGTGCCTAAATTGTCATATTAACGGTAAGATTAAGACTCCCCCAGAACCACATTAACAACCATGGTTCAATTGTATGGTTGGGAGGGATGGGATTTTCGCTGGCTGTGGTTTTTTAATCACCGGGATTGTACTTTAAGTTGTCATCTCTTCAAGTATCCTCTAGGGATGGGAGGGATAAATACATCTTTCCCAAACTTGACAACCCGAGTCCCATTTCCTATCCATGGTTACCATCAGTGGCGTATAAGTAACCTGGTCTTGGGCCTCTCCTGTGTCATGTCAGCCTCAATCGAATACCTGGTGCGGTGCGTAATTAGTACTGGGGAGACAAATGAGGCCGCGTGATCCTGGCCACACCCCACACTCGCCCCGTGTGGTGTATGTGCATATCGTAATCACACCGTTATAGCAACAACGGCTCTCATGAAGGCGCCACAGTTGTGCCCCGAAAGATGCGCGGGACATTTCCCGTCATTGAGTCTGCTACCACGAGAACTGGCTGGCGGTGGAAAAAAAATATCGTGGACAGTGGCCGGGTAATGAGTTCCACGTCGAAGGGCCGGACACCGCCAAAGTGTGGCAACTAGGTCGGTGAGCAAGTGGGTGGGCGGGTGGCCGAGCCTTATGGGCAACACAATCTTATGGGGTCCGTGCACCAGATGTCTCTTTCGGTGCGTGGGACGATCTATTTACGGTGTGCTGCCGACCACAGTTGACGACCATTGGCACAGGCATAGACTGGGTACCACGTTGTGTCTCGGCTAGATAGGGCAGTCTGTATTGGAGCAAATGCTGGAGCAGAACTCCATAGACGTGGCGCGCACAGCTTGTAGGCTCAATCCGGCTTGCCGGACTGTCAGCCAGTGCAGCGCGTCATGAAGTGTCACTGTGATGTGATCTGTGTCTTTGCGGTGGACTGAAGTACTGTGTCCGGCATTAACAGACGCTCATAAACAACACTTTCTGGGCTATGGATGCGTTGGATATAACGCGATCGAGTGAACAGAACTACGTCGCGCGAGTAGGAATAAGCGGTTGTACGGCTGCCTCGGCGTAGCATCACGCAAAGCGGGATGCTGCTGGATGCTTCTAGACTGCTACCCACGCGCCTCAGTCTTTGTTCAGCCTGGGTACGCATCTCACGTGTTTTCGTGGACTGTGCTCTACCCGATATTATTTATTATAACGCGATTTTTCCATAAAGCGGTGTTCTTCAGGAACGCATTATAGGACAGACTGTACTTTGTTTTTTCAAGTGCGGGTGTGTTTCTGTGTGTGTTTGCACTCACGAATTCAAAGTGAATCCCATCACTGGAGCTACAGTAGTTATGTCGTACATACTGCGACAAAGTCCAATGTTCACTTTGGGGTAGTAGTATAGAAAGGAGAGGCACATTTCATTCATCGTGCCCAGTCCACCCTGCGAGAGGAGGGGCAAGGAGGGAGATGTTGAGTGGAGGAACAATACATTACAATTTGCATTAATAAAGCGTCTCAATGCGAGCACATCTACACATGTAATTGGTCACATTAAGGCGCCGCAGTGGTGAGATGTTAACTACCTCGCCTGGTATGGGTGCGATCCCGACCCTGACGCCTGTATATTTGGAGTTTGTATGTCTCCCCGTGTTCGTGTGGATTTTTCTCCGGGTCCTCCGGTTTTCCCCTCCACATTAAGAAACATGTATTCAGACTATTTGGCTGCTATAAATTTACACATGATACACCTGGTAAAATAAAGCATTGTTTCGTTTTAGTTTAGTGTGAGTCCATGAGATTTGTTTTTGAAGGCGGATTGCGGGGATAGGGACTGGGGTAAGGAGGTGATGGTGACGATAATGTTGATGTTTTTCAATAGAAAGGAGTATAACCTGGGTGTGTCAGCAAATTCATCCGTCTGCTTTTTCAAGTGGATAAACGTAAAAATGCATGGATCATTGCATATAATGGGATCTGCCAATAGCACCTCCCCATATGAGTGTGGATAAAAGGCATTGCCCTAACAAGGAATCAATGAACTTGATTCGGCTCTTTCGTGACTGCAGGAATTACTCTTTGTATTGATTTAGTGTGCTCCTCCGTGTGCTCCTCCGTCCCTCTCTGTATCCCCTGGTGTATCTGTGTTAATTCCCTCTACTTAAGGTCTGTATATATATATCTGCGGTTATGTTTCCTCTACCTGATGATGATTGCTTGTGTTGCAATCGAAACGTCGTATGCTATTATGTAATTTTATTCTTTCTTATTTCTACATGACTTTACTGGAAAAAAAAGGAACCAATGATTACGATTGCGTTCCAGGGGGAAGGAAAATGCACGCTTGGGTAACACATATTTGGGGGGGGGACATTCTGACACCAGCACTGCTGATATTCTGGTTTTAACTAATAAATAAATAATGAAACACTGAGTGTTCAAATTTAGCAAGTTGATCTCAATTTGGTTACTGAACAATGCAATTACGATAACTTTAGTTTTTCACTTTAATCAGGAGTATATTTTAGGCCTCTAAGGATTAAACATTGTGGGTTAAACACTCTTTGCAGGGCAGATAAAAGTGTGCCACATAATTATTATGAAAAACGTAGTGGAGGAATCTATTAAAGTAGTTCTGTGGCATAATCTTCTCGGACCATTCTCTGATACGAGGTGGTGCACTGCTCACTGCAAGGATAAGGATGTCGATTTGTTATAGGGTGCTTAATATGCCATGGCATCTTAAAGCACATTTTTTATGAACAAAAAAAAACATAAAGAGACAGGGCAGAGAGACGAACCGACCTATAGCTTATGAGAGTTTGTGAGTGTAAACGTCTTTCCTTCGTGACACGATGCCAATAGCACGATTACATTAACACTGGGAGAGTGACCGGTTTTAAATAAATTGTTAGTAATGTCATCTCTGAAGGTCGTTTACAAAATGTTCGATGTGCCTATACTCAACTGCATTTTACAGCCTTTGCTCCATTTAAATGCTGGACTACGGCTACCCATTGCTGTCAGGCATGGAGGTTGTTTGACCATACTTCACCACACTGGTCATTGCAGTGTTGTCAAGAGGGGACCCTAGGACCGGTTTAGACATCGCTCACCCCAATGTTGGTCATGGCCATGAGTCAATTAGGGTCAGTGGGTTTGTCCTGCAGTGCACGAGCCACCGCTCGATTGTGGAACGTGGACTCTAGGAGGAAGGAAGGAGCAGTTGAACGTGGGCAGCTGATACGCAATTTCCTTTTAAGCTTGCTGAGAATGAACTGTCGAAGATAGGGTAAGTAACAGTCTTATGACGGACATACATGGTAAGAGGATAACCTCGAAGGAGTAAAAGAGCTCACCAAGATTCGAAAGGTGCAGTGACACGAGGCGGATGGAGGAAAGCAATTGAACCGAGAGGCTTATTTGAGTTGTGGAGGAGAGAAGACCAAAAAAGGCAGGGCAGAAAAAAGAGTAGAACGAACAGGACTGGAGAGCGCTGGAGAAAGAGAGACAATGGGAAGGCGTGGAGAGGTGTCTCACAACCAGCCCAGGAAATTCCTGGACACAGAGACGATGACGATTTTTTTTACATTTGCGTCGTATTCTTGGATGTTGTGTCACTGTACGAATGCGACAATGGGTCTCTGTGTGGCAGTGTTGACCGCTTCAGTTAAAGTATTACTGTTCATTGTTTCACTGTAATTTAGCATTTTTTAAAACTTTTATTCTGAAATGAAGGGCTTAATATAATTCTACATTTTTGAGAAGCATCATGAGAGGTAGATGCTAAGTGCATTAAAATTGTTATTCTATGATGATTTCATGTTGTTGGTCACAGCGAGTTTTATCCGAGTGCTCATGCCAGTAACGTACGGTGGTGGTCACGGTGCGGGTTGTGGTCCTGTAGGTGCACTCCGTGACCACCTGGTCTCCCTGAATCATCGCACAGACAGCGCAGTTGAGATGTCAAAACACAATCAGAATATTTGTTTAGACTGGAGGAGGTGGAATCCGAAGAGCGATGAAGCTCTTGTTCACAGGTGTCCTAGTCGGGGGAGAGGGTCAGCAAGTTACAACAACAAACAATGCAATAAACGATGGGAGTGCAAAATAGAGAAAAGGTAAGCAGGTCACTAAAAGTACAGATGACATAACCACATAATTTGCCTGCCGATTTTTCAGCACGAAATTGCAAGCTTGGGGCAAGGTGAGAAAACAGCAGCACAGCAAGCGATCGCCCCGTCATCATCGCACGTGAGAGGCTGTCGTGGAGAATGTGAAATAATCGGAGGGTCTTTCTATTGTCCACTACATTTAATGTATAACAATACATGCACCTAATTTATTCAATATTTTATTCATTAACAGTTAAGTAGTTTTTCCTGTTCGATGGACTGTGGATTAGTTCTCATCTCCTGTTTACAACCCTGAGCTCTTTGTGAATATTTCACATTCCTCTGGTGGGATTGTGTCTGTCTACAGGACAGCTGTTTGAGTTCCCACACATTTGTACTCATTTTTACACGCTTTCTTTTAACTCACTCTGTTGTTGTTGTCGTTGTTGTATCCTCAAATCTTGTAACTCAATTTTAACCCACTTCCCAATGTGGTATCGACTGCAAACTGTTATACTTATGTCATACTGATGACAATACTATATTCTATCATTAAAAATATTTATTTTTAAATATTCTATGTTTCGGCTTGGGTCTAATTGTCCACGCTCAACAATCACCACGGTTCCTTACGTTATGGCAAGCTTCGGGGACACTTCCTGGAGTCGTGGAGTTCTGCCATTACTAGTACATTTCATAAAAGTGTGTTTTAAAACAAGTTTTAAAAAAAAATATTACTTATTTTAAATGACCCCTGTTCGGAATTTGAACTCGCAAACTCTCCGGTCACTGTGGTGCTCCAATGGATTACGATTTATTTACCCAGGAAGACCTCACCAAGTCTCAAAACTGCTTTTGAAGAGTCCATCTGCATTGAAACATTTGGCCAGTTATTTTTGAAGGAGAATTCCACGTGTGGAAGAAAACCCATGAGTCTGGAGATGGTTACATTCCAGCATCCGCACGGACAGGTGCGGACGCTGTTCTGTCTAAACTATAAGTTGAACTAAAACTAAACTTTTTTTTTTATATTAGCAGGTAAGGCCCACTGAGAGCTATAAAGCTGTTTTATAGAAGCGACCTGGTCACAAATGATAGCTGAACGAAGTGCCTTATCAAGTGGAAATGTATATCAACCACTCGAAAACGCATGTTGCTAAATGTGGATGCATAAACGGGAGGACCTGAAGAAAATCCACGTGACCACAGGGAGAACATTCAATCTCCAAATTTAAAGGTGTGACGGTCGGGATCGAACCCACAACCTCCTGTATACCAAGTCAGATAGTTAAAACCTCACCACCATGGTGCCCTGCTTCAAACAAGCAATACGCTAAAAATCTCAGAAAACAATCTAATTTTCAAATACGCAAGTTTGTGTTTTTAAGATGGCGTGACCTGACCTGCAAAGTGGGCCAAGATATACAGTGAGGGAAAAAAGTATTTGATCCCCTGCTGATTTTGTACGTTTGCCCACTGACGAAGAAATTATCAGTCTATAATTTTTATGGTAGGTTTATTTGAACAGTGAGAGACAGAATAACAACAACAAAATCCAGAAAAACGCATGTCAAAAATGTTATAAATTGATTTGCATTTCATTGAGGGAAATAAGTATTTGATCCCCTCTCAATCAGAAAGATTTCTGGCTCCCAGGTGTCTTTTATACAGGTAACGAGCTGAGATTAGGAGCACACTCTTAAAGGGAGTGCTCCTAATCTCGGCTTGTTACCGATGTAGTGGAGTAGGAAGGTGTAGCCTATGGAAGGCGTAAACAGCGTGGGTCGCCTTAAGACAGGCACGTGCAGAAGCTGCAAGGTCACGTCATTGGTTGGGACAATTAAGGTAGACGAGAAGCAACGGCGGTGATTGGCTGGGACTGTTGCCAGGGCTGGAGAGGCGCCGGGATGTCTGAGAGGAGGCAGGTGGTGGATGACGCGTTGTGTGTGGAGGCACGCGGGCCAATTGATTAGCAATAATGTGAAGGGGGATGAATTGGGAGGAGACAGAGTTAGAGTCGGAGCTGAAGAGAATTGGGAGTAGGAGCTGAGGAGAGTTGGGGTCTGGAGTTGGAAGCCAGGACTGTGTAGAGTTAGCGGAGCTGAAGAAGACGAAGCAGTTAGCAGTGGAGAGAGCGTAGTAATAGAGCAGCTGGAGACGATGTGTGCGGAGGCAGAGAATTGAGATTGGGTTTCGCTGTGTGCGACGACGCTGTATAGCGGAGGAGCTGAGGAGGATAGCCAGCAGTGGAGAGAGCGTAGGAATAGAGTTGAAGATGTGTGCGTGGAGCAAAGCGACGTGATACTGAGAACCAAGGTGGTGAGCGAGACGGGCGAAGCACGGCGAGCGAGCCAGGATACGGTGGAGTGTGGAGAACGTGTTAAACGATGAAAATCAAGAAGTGGTTGAAAAAAGACGACAAGTTGTTCATGTAAAGTTCAACCACTACACCTGTATAAAAGACACCTGTCCACAGAAGCAATCAATCAGATTCCAAACTCTCCACCATGGCCAAGACCAAAGATCTCCCAAGGATGTCAGGGACAAGATTGTAGACCTACACAAGGCTGGAATGGGCTACAAGACCATTGCCAAGCAGCTTGGTGAGAAGGTGACAACAGTTGGTGCGATTATTCGCAAATGGAACAAACACAAAAGAACTGCCTGGGGCTCCATGCAAGATCTCACCTCGTGGAGTTGGAATGATCATGAGAACGGTGAGGAATCGGCCCAGAACTACACGGGAGGATCTTGTCAATGATCTCAAGGCAGCTGGGACCATAGTCACCAAGAAAACAATTGGTAACACACTACGCCATGAAGGACTGAAATCCTGCAGCGCCTGCAAGGTCCCCCTGCTCAAGAAAGCACATATACATGCCCGTCTGAAGTTTGCCAATGAACATCTGAATGATTCAGAGGACAACTGGGTGAAAGTGTTGCGGTCAGATGAGACCGAAATGGAGCTCTTTGGCATCAACTCAACTCGCCGTGTTTGGAGGAGGAATGCTGCCTATAACCCCAAGAATACCATCCCCACCGTTAAACATGGAGGTGGAGACATTATGCTTTGGGTGTTTTTCTGCTAAGGGGAAAGGACAATTTCACCGCATCAAAGGGACGATGGACGGGGCCATGTACCGTCAAATCTTGCGTGAGAACCTCCTTCCCTCAGCCAGGGCATTGAAAATAGGTCGTGGATGGGTAGTCCAGCATGACAATGACCCAAAACACACGGCCAAGGCAACAAAGGAGTGGCTCAAGAAGAAGCACATTAAGGTCCTGGAGTGGCTTAGTCAGTCTCCAGACCTTAATCCCATAGAAAATCTGTGGAGGGAGCTGAAGGTTCGAGTTGCCAAACGTCAGCCTCGAAACCTTAATGACTTGGAGAAGATCTGCAAAGAGGAGTGGGACAATCCCTCCTGAGATGTGTGCAAACCTGATGGCCAACTACAAGAAACGTCTGACCTCTGATTGCCAACAAGGGTTTTGCCACCAAGTGCTAAGTCATGTTTTGCAGAGGGGTCAAATACTTATTTCCCTCATTAAAATGCAAATCAATTTATAACATTTTTGACATGCGTTTTTCTGGATTTTTTTTGTTATTCTGTCTCACTGTTCAACTAAACCTACCATTAAAATGATAGACTGATCATTTCTTTGTCAGTGGCCAAACCTACAAAATCAGTAGGGGATCAAATATTTTTTTCCCTCACTGTAGGGTGCTTCAAAAATGTTAACACTTCTGAGAATTTGCAACAAGAAATGTGCCTCCGGACTCTGGAGACCACCTGGAGAAGATTCCAGGCGTGTATTGACAATGATGGCGAACAAGTGGAGACTCTTTGCCTTTCTGAAACTATTAGGATACATTTGTTAGCATGTTAGTGTATTATCCGTTCTTTTTCCATTCAAAACGATAGTCCCATATAAGTGCTTTTTTTAAGCACCCTGTATTGTGGAAAGAACTAACAGCTCGGCAAACAATGTCTCACTCTCACAAATACAGACATCGACCAAATTCCAGAGGGTGTACCTACTCTGACAAGTTACGAGAGAGTGGGGATTGCATGCCATTGATCATCAAACCATTGTGGAAGATGAGCAACTAGTGCGGGCACAGCCCCAGGAGTGAGAACGCCAAAGCTGGTAGTTGGATATCAAAATATCCCCCAAGGTGTGTGCATAAATATGCTGCATGGCAGCAGGGAAAAACCCTCTTCTGGATGCAAACGCAGCCCATCGCGCCGAGACCGTGAACGTACAACATGTGGGCATTTGTCAGTGCTCACCGGCAGAACGGCCGTCAGATTGTTGAGGTAGCGCGTCTCCTGCAATCCAAAGTCGTAGCCCATGTCACGACCAAGGTTTCCAATCTGGTTGCCGTTCCTTTTTCACACACGCACACATAGACATGCACAAACATCAGCTGCCGTCATTTACCACTTAAGTGGTGATGACGTTACCACAGAATGTGCCAGGCATGTGAAAGGCTTGCTGCTGGCAGGAAGTCACGCGATAGGCCCAGGTGTTGACCGACAGATTACTGGCAGATGCACCACCTGTGCACCACACTGCCTGACAACTTGCTGCGTTTTAGCCGCTCGTTGCAAGTGTGGTGCCGCCGCAGCGGAGCCGCTCCATCCGGGCCGTGCCCACCGCCGTGGCACCGCCACCGGGGAGTGACGGCGCCGATGCGGCCCGCCCCTCGCCGCCTAATGGGATCAAGCTTCATGGTTTCCTGCGGCCGGGCAATTGGGCGATCTACCCCCGAGGCTGACATGCACCGCAGCGCCGTGACCTGATATTAAAGTTACGTGGTCACGGCAGAGGCCGTTGAGCCACTGCGAGTGAAACCGCATACACAAGCACGAGTCAGGAGGCCAAGGGGGGTACGGATCGGAATGCCTTTGTTATAGGTAGGATTTTGGGTCCAAATAAGAGGGACAGGAATAACCAGGCCTCTGAATGGACAGGGTGGCACGGTTGCGGGGGCAACTGAATGCCTTGTTATCGGTGGGATTGCGGGATCCGAATGTCAAAGGGACAGAAATATTTCGGCCTCCGATTGGATGAAAGGGCACGGGCGAGCAAGTGCAGGGTCCACGGAATGCCCTTTGTGATAGGTAGGATAAAAGGCAGGCGATAGAGACAGTGAGGGAGTTCTTCTTCTTCAAGACATCGAGAGCAGCGGGGTGTTGGAGTCAGCCGTTCAAGATGTCCGTGTGACGAGCTTCAACGCAGCCAGGCTCAACCCTCTACGGAGATGACCCACAGCATCGCCCTTCTACAGCTTCCAGCGCAGCAGAGTGGAAGTAAGCGTAAGAGAGGTGAGTTTGAGCTATTTCATCGAGGGTAGAGAGCGGAGCGATAGGCAGGATAAATTGGACCTAGGATCCTCGAAGGATAGGCTAGGAGGGCCTGCTGACTCACAGACGCACGCAGTTTAGCAGGATATTCGCGAGGAATAAAACTGTCGTGGTCGCTGTGAGTACGAAGAGGGAGGCGGTGTGTTTTGTGCTCTCACGCATACGCGGCTGTTTGCGGCGAATAAGGGAGTGTAGCGTCTGGTGATCGCGTGCACGCACGGTTGTTTACAATGAGGCGGAGTGCTTAACATGCGCGTGCCTACGTGTCTGTTTACGGGAGTGCTTGGCGTTTGCATACCCGTGCAACTTTACGGGAGTGTCTCGCGTTCGCGTGCATGCGCAGTTGTCTATAGTGAAGCGGAGAGCTAAACGCCTGGTGTGTGCGTACACGCGCGGCTGTTTAAACGGCCCTTTAAATCGGAGCAGCGTGACTCCCTCCCATCAGCGCGCGCACGGCGGACACCCCCCCTCCCCCGACCCCAATTCCCTCGCGTGTGATTGGTGTACGGGGCTCGGCAGGTAGCAGCGTCGAGTTTGTTATTGCCTGAGCGCGTAGAGCGTGTGTGTGTGTGTGTGAGGGAACCACGCGTTGGCGCGCCGTCCCTGTTGGTTCACGTGCGGGACGGAGTCTCGCTCCGCGAGCGTGCTCACTGCCGCACGCCGCCACTGAACAGCGTATCGCGTCGTAGGCGTAGAGCAGGCGGCCCCACCGATTGAGACATGCCGACGCGGTCAGCAACCAAGTCGGGGGTACAGGGGGGCAAGGAAGTGGAGGCCGGTAGCCCGGACCCCCACAGAACAGCCGGGGGGCAGTGATATAACTGCGACAGAGGAGACGGGAGATGGCGGGGTTAGGACTGTGGAGGTGGGGGGCGGCAGCACCCGCAGTAGTACGAATATAAGGGGGGAGTCGGAACAACGGCCCCGACAATTCTTTGATGGCGGGGGACGGTAGCCCCCACACAAGCATCACTCCTCCACCCCCCGATGCTGGAGGGCAACTGCTTCCAACTGCCCAGTAGCTTCCTTCATGAACCTCATCTACAGAAGCTGATCTTGCCACTAGTGATACCAGTATAGATTATTCTACATGGCCAAATAGCTACCTGGGCATGCGGGTAAGATGACCCAGTAAACGAAGGAGCTCACGATCTTTCAAGCATCTGTGACCTCACACAATCCACCCTAGTTAAACCCTCTCATGCCCTACTTTGCACACACACACAACTACACGTACGATATGTATCAGCTTTCAAGTTAAAGTTCTTCGAGTAGAACGAATCGTGTGGACTCATTTTCACATGGACTGCTGGAGCCAGTGCTGTTAGTGACACCGGTTACAAAATGGTGAACAAGGGGCTACTTTGGCCTTCCCCATGTCTGGCCGTGTTTTATCTCCTCAGTGTTGATGTTATGCCACGCCAGGTGCTTATTTAAATATACGTTAACTCGGCTATGCTAGGCCCAGGGCAGGTTTAGATATCACTAATTTCCCAAGGCCAGGAAATAAACCTCCAATGAACATGTTTTTTTATTTTACACAAGCTCGCTATGCTAGTGCCATGCTTTCATGTGCTGTCAAATACAGGAAAGTATAGCAATGCTGCAACGATTTGTGAACCGCACTGATCAGAAGCCGACCCAAACCTGCCAATTCGATGGCGGATGTGAACACCCCGCGTCTTATACGGCTGAGATCCAGAAAATCCGCTTTAGAAACACGCGGCGCAAGACTCGGTGTGACGCGAATTTCAGCATCAAAATGGTGAGGATGCAGTGGGCTTGAAGCAACGTGCCCAAGCAAAGACCTGATCAGCAACCCCACCAACAGACTCCCAGGTTTTGATCTTCCATGGAAATAATGGGCAAGCCTCAATCATGCCAAATGTACAAGTGGAAATTCAAAGACTCTCCTGTGTGCGACTTCAGCTACGAATACCAAACCACGGACCATATCGCACTGACCCAAATGTATCTGCAATTCATCAACTCTCAGGCAAAGCAAGAGAATGGCTAAATCACGGATTAATGACGCATGGATTTTCCCTTCAGCCAAAATTAATCATCTAAAAACAGTTATTCTTGGAAATGTTTATTACAAATCACGTGCTTAAACTGAACAAATAAGCGCTCCAATGAAACTGAAATCCCCGTGATCGTCTCTGCAGTACAGTAGTTGCATATCTTTCAACAGTGGGTGGAGTTTGATTTTGATTGGCGTGGCTCTGCTGTCATCCACTTAGTGAGTGGAGTCTTCTGCATGCGAGCAGGAAAGTGTTATCACTGAGCACGCGCATCAATCGGTGGAATCTTTTCTACAAATTTTTTTTTGTTCATTGACAAACTCAATTTTCTTAACTTAAACATAAATTACACCTACATTAGTGTTTTTTGGCATAAATATCCGCGGAAAATGGATATTTTTGGATTATCCACGGCCCTCCCTGTCATTAGCGTGGATAATCGAGAGTCTACAGTAGTTGTTGTTCAGAGGCCATATGATAGAAGGGGCAAGAGAGGGTTAATCTCCAATTCCTGAAATTCATCAACCCTGAAATGTTTTTTAAACTATGACTACCTCTCACTTTATACGGGGGGTTGTGTTCTTGAAAAATGGCGCATAACTCAAAATCGCGCAAATTAAACGTAATTTCCCCTTTAGAAATAAAGAAAATGGACGAAGTTAGGAAGATCACACTGTCGAACCTCATTCTTACATCTACATATTTCACTGGTTACAGTACATATTATATTGACAATACTACCATGTATTAAAGATAGTAACAGTCTATTTAAAGCAAAATATGTAAGTTAAACGAAAAGATGATTGAGTGTGGTGGAGGGGAGGAGTAGAGATTCCAGGAGAGAGAGGGTCATATTCGTCAGATGACGATGGTGGAGATGACATCAATCGTGATGGCTTTCTGCTGCTCCTTGGATATGGAGCCATGCTTGGATGTAGCTCGACGCTTATCGGACATAGTGGTGGCCGAGTGTGTGCACAAGGCAGAGTTCACGTGGACAAGATCGTCTGACGCATGAGAAGGAGATGCTGACGCTGCCCGCACTTGTGGTTGTCACACTGCACCTCGGGCAGCATCGCTAGTGAACTTTGTAGCCTAACGATTGGCTCGCAGCGCGTCTCCGTACATCGTGGCCAATGCACTGGAGCGCATTATTTCAATGATAGTGCGAACGTAATAAAAATAAAATTTCAAATTGATCTAACGCGCCACATCAAAATCGCTTTATGCAGACACACGTAAAAGGCGAGGCGACTGTATAGCCAAAAGAACGTCCAACTTTTCATGGAAAAAGGTAAACCATACCATTCACAAGGGCCCATGGCCTTGTCATCGACTCGGACATACCTGAAGTGCCGCACTTGAATCGCGATACCGGCCAGGTGGGAATGGAGCATAGTGGCGAATACGTTCATGGTTCCTGACACTTGCCCCTGAAACACCACACGACGATCGCTCGTGACCAAGTTTCTTAATTTTATTTTAAGAAAATTGTTTTTCGGTGGTTATTGGTAACAGCATTAAACAAAAAAGGCAAACATTTTGTTCATGCGTACACCCGTCATACGACAGCTATGGTATTAAGATGCCTCCATCTTGGACATTGTAAATATTATTGAGTTGAGAGAAGACGATTGTACAGAAAGGTCGGGTCAATAACTCCCCCCACAGCTGCGTCGCACAGTCAACATTTAATTGAATTTGTTACGTTTTTGAGTCGGCTGGTCAGGATTAGGCAAAACCTAGTCCACATTTCACCCAGGAAACTGGAGAGCAGCACAGACTGTGTTACTAATCTAACATTAGAACGAACAACAACATATTTACGAATCATGGTTAATAGACAAACAAATATATACTATGAAAAATAAGAATACAATTTTTTTATTTTTTCAATGGATTGCCTAAATATTAAGGCCTTCACAGACTGCATTCCGCAGGGCAATGGCAAAATGGTAGATCGGGTTACACATCGTGTGGCTCTGGGAGTTGCATGAGTGGATAAGGTGTAAGAGATTAATATAAGAAACTAAAAATATTCATATAAAAAAGGGGGGGGGGGATTGTAAGATTATGAGAATGAAAATGCACTAATTGGATATTAGACATGTAAAATTATAGAAAATAAAGTTGGAGCAACTGGTATAGGGTGATGACAACACCTGAATATTCCAAATTGTTAATTTTCTTATCTGTCATACATTTTTATGAAGCTATAAGTAAAAATGGTGTTGGGCAGTGGAGAGAGGTGATGGGAGGTGGGTCAAATGCAAATCTCAGGCACGAAGGACTCGTGTTGTGCACCTGCTATAAAGGTCACTTCCGATTGTTTATACGTACGGAAGTGTCACAGAGGTGAGTCTGTGTGTGGCTCTTGTCACTCTTTGAGAATCTGTGTGGGTCTCTGGATCTCTATACATACCTGTCAACCTATACGGTTTATATTCTTTGGTTCTTTCGGTAAAGTCACGTCGATAGAAAATAATAGCGCTGAGCGGTGAGGGGCGCAGTCCAAGTGTGTCAGCAGCATGGGCGGGGCAGCCACCCCGCAGTAGCAACCGGTGCTACTGCGGGGGTCCACTTTCTGCCCTGCCTCCTCCCCCTTTCTCTTTCCTCCCCTGCAGTCGACCTCGCCAGTGCCACCGCGGTGGCCCACTTTACTCCAGTGACCCGGGTGCTGCTGCGGGGTCGACTTTCTGCACCCCCCCCCTTTCCCCCCCCCCCCCCCCCTACTGCCGAGGCCTATATAATCTCGTGCCACGGCAGATCTCTCACCTACTGCAGCAGTCTTTTCTCGCTGTGGTTGTCCCACCTGATGACGATTGCTTGTGTTGCGATAGAAACGCCGTGATCTATTATTTTTCTACCTACGTGACCTTACCGAAAGAACCAAAGAGTGGTGTTTTTTTTCTAGAATCCTATTGGTTAGAAACACATCCTTCAAATGTGCAAGTGTTGTTGGCTGGTATCTAAATTGATAATTATTTGGTTCGTTACATATGTAGTTCCTGATATTGAACAACAATGACTGGATCGGCCACTGAACGGCACGTGGCATTTGTCTTCTCTATCTTGCAAAGTGAGGTTATTTCCTTTTAATTCCGAAATTACCGTGGCACACCTGATACTTTGCCGGCACACCTGGAACGTTTCCGGCACACCTGGGACTTTGCCGTGGCACAACGGTAGTTGCGAAGGACTGATCTATAGAACAACGATGACTGTTATCCGCGATGAAGTTCATGAGGTTAGTCGTGGTGGTGGTGGTGGTAGGGGTCAGGGAGGAGGGAGTACCGGTCAGTTGCCCACGCCTGGGCTGGCACCTAGCCCAGTACCTGCAAGGTGTCGTTGGAGTTGGCGGTGACGAAGCTTCTGGTGTTGCAGATCCCATAGCTCGTGAAGCTCGTCGTCTTCGGGGGGATGAAGTGGTATATGTTTGGCAAAATGCCAGTCTCCAGTATTCCGGTGTCGTACTTGCGCAGGTTAGGTGTGTAGTACAAGCGAAGTCCTGAGCTGTCGCTCACACCTGTGTGTGTGCGTGTGTGCAACACCTGTGACGATGATCTGAACCAGTCCTGGGCCTCTCCAGGTCAACTCAGCCTCAAATTAGTACCTGGTGCAGTGTGTAAACATTGCCGCTTAGGAGACAAAGGCGGTCGGGTGTGGTGCTGGCCACCCACCCCCTTGTGTATCTTGGTGGCCTTTATTGGTGCTCACTAACAGCTCTTGCCCCAACAGTCTGTTAAGGCTCTTTGGGGGATATTTGTCTTTGTTGCGTGTGGTTGATGTGATACATGTATCCACGTGTGCAAGTATGCATTTGTATAAATATTTGTGCATCTCAAGATTCTACATAAAAGATATGCAAAGGAACAATGTGGGGATGAGGGATTTAATTTATAATGCGAAGTAATTAAACAGAGGAGCGTTTTGGGGTATACATGTTGGAAATATTGTAACGTTTATCATTACGTGCGAGTTCACTGAAGCAGCATTTTGACGACGTTATCATCCACACAGGCGTGCACGAAGAGATACGTACGTCTTGTGAAGAGACGAGTGGTACGGCTGCCTCATGTCTCCCTGGGGTAACCACTTTACTTTTCTCCCCATGAGGTACCATGCTCAAATGTCGGAATTTTCCGATTTGGCTGGGGGGACAGTAAACAAGAGTCACTCACCAGACGCCGCTTGTGGATTGTTGTAGTGCATCTCCAGCATCACGACCTTCGGGTCTGCGTCCATGCCCAGCGAGTATCCGGCATCTGCGGGGTAGTCGAACGTCTGGAGAATATCGTTACGGTTATCCACACGATCAGCGGCTGCGGCCGCAGCACCAACGTCAGCAGCAGCAATATCAGCGTTATAATGATGGCCATCGGTGTAAACAATTGAACCCACCCCCTTGTCCTGCTACCACTTGTAATTGGTTACATTAAGTAGTAAGACTTCAGGGCTAGAAATATATTAAATTATGCATGTTTTTTCTTGCAACGATTATGATTCTGATGATGTTGGCGATTTATGGACTGATTTATTAGGGATGTAATAATTCATTAGTGTATCGATTAGCATTGATTTTAAGGATACATGTGTTGAATTGAGCGTGTAAGAATCTGCATTTTTTTCCATTTATGAAAATAATATGCTGTTCAATTAATTCTAAGGAAGCTGTACAAATGAGACAAAATAGAAATACCATAAACAAGATGGTAAAACATAAAAAAATAGATATATTATTTGATCAAATTGTAGCCCTGAATTGTTTCTATCAGTATATGCGCCTTTTTATGAAGAAAAAGACCATATAAATACATGTATATCCTGAATCTCCACGCAAAAGTGAAATGTTTTGGAGTCAATCGGCGTGTAGTCCTTCCTATATGTCAACGTCTGATTTCCACTTTTTGCTCGCCCGTCCTGTTGTCTGTACAGATGGCAGCTCATTGAATAATCTCAAAAACAAGACCAAATCTAGGTTCACCATCAGGTATCCCCCACCCGCCGTCCCCCCTCCCCAGGTCTCATTGGTATTTGGCTTTCAGTGGCTTGAGTACCGCTGGTTGATATGCGTGGGGTTGTCATTGCTCTTTCCCCTGTATTTCCTTACGTTTCACCTTCCTTTTTCGACACTATCTGTGTTTCTCTTGTGTTATTTCAGAACTTTGAGATGGTGTGGAATTTAATTGCTCGAGACGCACGTCTAAATCCTCGCCATAGCAAGTTCAAGATTGCAAATAAATAAGGTTAAATGTCATAATTACTGCTGCCTCATGAGTTAAAAGAGTCAAAGGGTGATAGTCATCGTGATAATGAGGATGATCATCACGCATTGGCGTACACCTGTGCTCACCTCTCCGCCCACAGCCCATGCAGCCAGCACACTTAAGCACCTGGCGCTGGGGTGATTGGTTGCACCCATCGACGAGTAGCATTGAAAGGTTGTATTTATGTAGGACATATTCACGTTGGTCTCGCACGCGTACACTATCATGTGGTGCACGAAACGCGTGTTCCCGGCCTGCACCAGCGGCTGCACCTGTGAACGAGAACACACACAGACTCGAGAAGCCATCCCTGCATGGGTTGTTGTTTTTGTTGGTAGTTTGCGTCTGAGCTTGTATACTGGAGAGTTGTTAGCAGGGGTTGTGCAGTGATTTTTTGTGGGGGCTAACGCCCCTCCTCCTCTCCCCCCCCTCCTCCACCCCTTCTCGCCGCCGCCGATCGAGTGATCGGCCTCCCCGCACCAGCGTCCTCTCTGAAGGACATGGCTCGTAGCTGTACTCACGGCGTCGAACGGACGCTGTGAGAGTCGGAGGGAGAAGGACGAGTGAAACCCTCGCTTATCACTGCCTCGTAGCAGCACTCACGGGCATCACACGGATGCTGCGAGCGGCTCAAGGACACAGCAGGGAGGGTCTGGATCGCCCGGAGGTTGAACACAACTGAACTCACCGTCCCGGGGCACCTATCTTTATTCTCTAAACTTCAAAGGCCCAGGGTGACATCATACCGCGCAGCCAATCGGGCGCTTACCCGTGCTTCCCGTCATCGTCCCCCTCCACCGTCTCTACCATGACCTAATCCCCTCACTTCAAAGGCCCAGGGTGGCGTTGTACTGCACAGCCAATTGCGTGCTCACCTGTGCCGTCTACATGGAGGGCTATGGGGTCTGCTGCTGCTGCTGCGGCCCCTCACCCATTGTCCTCCCATGCGCATTAATTCTAACCCACTGGTCTGCCCTTCTGGCCTAATATTCCACCCTCCGCCTCTCCCAGTGTCGTGAGTAACTCCTTGCGGTTGAACCTTTTCGTTCTGTGCCCATACAATCTTCAGCCAATTTAGGGGCACCGCAATGTAACCTGTCCTGTGAGGGTCGGCCAATCTCCTGGCACCAGGAAACCGTGGGACTCTCCCTCTAGGGGCCCTTCGGATTAAAACCCGATGTGCCAGGCAACCCCCCGTCAGGACACTACGTGGGTGCGCTGTGTGTGGGTGTATGTTTAGTGTGGGGGCCTGGAGGGGAGTGCGGTGTTTGCGGAGTTGCTCCGTTGCTGTGGCACCGCAATTACAACTCGTGCTACGCAGCAAGAAGGGCCTGGGTTCGATTCTCGACTCGGGAACCTCTCTGTGTGGAGTTTGTATGATGTGTCGTATCAGCGCACACACACTACTCGTTTACTAATGGGCTCTTGTCACACGTGCACAGCAGTAGACGGCAGTGTTTTATTGGGACAACCGCTCTGTCTGCAGCGGTGAGAGCAACCTCACGGTTCGCGTTGCCTGTGTAGACGCACTTGTAATGAATCGCATGTATAATTGTCCACTCTGTAGTATATAGGAACCTAAAAACACATTTTGCAAAGCTACGGGTAACTAGGTGCGTTTTATCATTCTTTAACAGAAGGGAATGGTGGACCGAGGAATTCAGCGATGGTGTTGTGACGTGGGTTGTGTCTGATCACTATTGCAGATGTAGTGATATGGAATCGGTCACTACGGCATGTAGCGCTGGCTGCTGGCAAAAAGGAGCTCGGCTGCCATGGCAACCCTGTCCGCCAGAGGTGAGAGGGTAGGTGGGAGGAAGGGATGTGGAGAGAAGGGGATGAATGGGGTATGAGAGAAGCCCGGGAACCTTCTAGGGGGTTCTAGAAGGGGGGCATAGCCAACGGGGTGCGAGGCTGTGCTGGGGGGATATAAGGGGGACTCCGGGGAGGACTCGGGGCCATTGTTGGAGTGGACCCCTGGAGCCCGTCAAGTCAAGTCCCGTCAAGTCGCGTCAAGTAAAGTCTCGTCAAGTCTTCGTCATCGACACATCGTTTTACCCTAGTCTCAGCGTTGTGGGTCAGGCAGCCCGTTGCTGTCCTGACTTTACTATAGTATTCTCAGCGCCGGCGAAGGCTATAAATAAACACAGTGCCTCCTAATATAGTGTCTCTCCAGTCTGTCACTACACAGATACTAAATTTAACCTTCTGAAGAGGACTTTTGAAATTAAGTTTTGCCGTTTCACAAACCACTGGTGTTCAGCTGTTGTGGAGTCGCCCACTATCTCCGGAGTACAGAACACAACGCGGAGTTTCTTACTCATCCTCTCCTAAATGTATGTTTTCGTTGTTGTTGCTGTCTACTTAGCAGACATGTCCCTCGACGGGAGGAGAGGGGGACAGGGTGGATCAGCTACATCTGCAAAGGTGCAGAGGCCGACTTGAATGGAAGAGGCCCAACACCCCCCCCCGCCCCCCCAAGGGTATACGCAGGCAATGATCGCATACCTGTCAACCCATATGGTTTACCCATATTCTTGTACAGGGGAAATAGGATTTTGAGGTCCATAGGGCATACAGCCGTTTCAAAACGGGCATTTTTAAAAATCTATTAGTTTTTTTCCCTTGTGATGGGACTTTGTAGGATGAAAGTTGAGATTTATAAGTGCACGGGGTGATCAATAAGGTCTAAATTGGTCTGTTATGAGATAGGCACTGATATAGGAGTTGACAGGTATGTGATTGGCCCATCTCAAATATGAGTCAGACAATCAGATTGTGAAAGGGCACCAAAGCGGGCAGTGATTGGTGGAATTGGAAGGAGGTGGTGGGTCAAGTTGGCTGATATAAAAGGAGAGGGGAATTTTATGAAGGCAAGGAATCGGTGTTCTGCCTCACGGCAGGTGTGGCGGTGTGCGTACACAGGAATTTCCTGGTATGATGTTGAGTTTGGTCACGTGGCCAGGAAGTGAAGATTTAATATTCTCTAAGCCATGAGGCAGGGTATCAGCCATTACACAGAATACAAAATGGAGGCACAAATAGCATCTCAATGAAGATAGGTGAATCTGTTCAATGTGGGACTTTAAGAAGCATTGTCTGTAAGTTCGTTTATGTTCTTATAATACTGGAAATTCTGTTATAATGTTAGGATTGCTATAATGCTGTAAATGGCTTTATAATGCTGTTAAATTGCTATGATAAATATGAAGCCTCGTTAACAACGAAGCCTGCCACTTGCATTATTGTGAATGTTACTTGTACAGTGAGGGGAAAAAAGTATTTGATCCCCTGCTGATTTTGTATGTTTGCCCACTGACAAAGAAATGATCAGTCTATAGTTTTAATAGTAGGTTTACTTGAACAGTGAGAGACAGAATAACAACAAAAAAATCTAGAAAAACGCATGTCAAAAATGTTATAAAATGATTTGCATTTTAATGAGGGAAATAAGTATTTTACCCCCTCTCAATCAGATTTTTGGCTCCCAGGTGTCTTTTATATAGGTAACGAGGTGAGATTAGGAGCACACTCTTAAAAGGAGTGCTCTTAATATCAGCTTGTTACCTGTATAAATGACACCTGTCCACAGAAGCAATCAACCAATCAGATTCCAAACTCTCCACCATGGCCAAGACTAAACAGCTCTCCAAGGATGTCAGGGACAAGATTGTAGACCTACACAAGGCTGGAATGGGCTACAAGACCATTGCCAAGCAGCTTGGTGAGAAGGTGACAACAGTTGGTGCGATTATTCACAAATGGAAGAAACACAAAATAACTGTCAATCTCCATCGGCCTGGGGCTCCATGCAAGATCTCACCTCGTGGAGTTGCAATGATCATGAGAACGGTGAGGAATCAGCCCAGAACTACACGGGAGGATCTTGTTAATGATCTCAAGGCAGCTGGGACCATAGTCACCAAGAAAACGATTGGTAACACACTACGCCATGAAGGACTGAAATCCTGCAGCACCCGGCAAGGTCCCCCTGCTCAAGAAAGCACATATACATGCCCGTCTGAAGTTTGCCAATGAACATCTGAATGATTCAGGGGACAACTGGGTGAAAGTGTTGTGGTCAGATGAGACCGAAATGGAGCTCTTTGGCATAAACTCAACTCGCCGTGTTTGGAGGAGGAGGAATGCTGCCTATGACCCCAAGAACACCATCCCCACCGTCAAACATGGAGGTGGAAACATTATGCTTTGGGGGTGTTCTGCTAAAGGGACAGGACAATTTCACCGCATCAAAGGGACGATGGACGGGGCCATGTACCGTCAAATCTTGGGTGAGAACCTCCTTCCCTCAGCCAGGGCATTGAAAATGGGTCGTGGATGGGTATTCCAGCATGACAATGACCCAAAACACACGGCCAAGGCAACAAAGGAGTGGCTCAAGAAGAAGCACATTAAGGTCCTAGAGTGGCCTAGCCAGTCTCCAGACCTTAATCCCATATAAAATCTGTGGAGGGAGCTGAAGGTTCGAGTTGCTAAACGTCAGCCTCGAAACCTTAATGACTTGGAGAAGATCTGCAAAGAGGAGTGGGACAAAATCCCTCCTGAGATGTGTGCAAACCTGGTGGCCAACTACAAGAAACGTCTGACCTCTGTGATTGCCAACAAGGGTTTTGCCACCAAGTACTAAGTCATGTTTTGCAGAGGGGGGTCAAATACTTATCTCCTTCATTAAAATGCAAATCAATTCATAACATTTTTGACATGCGTTTTTCTGGATTTTTGTTGTTGTTATTCTGTCTCTCACTGTTCAAATAAACCTACCATTAAAAGTATAGACTGATCATTTCTTTGTCAGTGGGCAAACGTACAAAATCAGCAGGGGATCAAATGCTTTTTTCCCCGCACTGTAGTTGGGTAAGTTGAACCAGACTTGTACCCATGTAACTTTAATGTGATCTTGAGAGCAAAGATGAATAAGTATCTCATCCACAGTTCAGTGTTATGTGCAGCGCCGTATATTTAGGCTGCAGTATGGTGATTACACGAAGTGACCTTATTCAACACAGTAGCTTATTCTCTTGTATAGCTATTCAGTGCTAATGTAGGTGCCTGGTCCATCCAGGACCTATTGTGGAGTTTCATGTTATCTAAGACAATGTTACGATGCTGCAGTGTTCATTGTATTGATATTCCAAGTATTAATAGATTCTGTATTTTGTGCTGTTTTTCCATCGGTTTTACCTCGTTCAATTAATTAAATACGTCGGAATCATATGTTCACCCTGGCTCTGAAAGTTTATTGAATGCGAGGTTGACTACTCGGATAGTGGTGCAACGCAGCACACAGCGAGGCCGAGACAATCGGTTTACATGGGGCCAGCTGGATATCTTTGATCAGAATCTTTACGTAGGCTGGAGCGGTGAAGCCTGAAATGAGTACCTTGGCGCGGTGTGTAAACATGGCCACTCGGGAGTCAAAGGGGGCCGGAGGTGGTGCTGGCCACCCACCCCATTCATAGTGGCTCGCTAACAGCACTTGCCCCAATGGTCTCTTAAAGGCTATACGGGGGATCTTTGTCTTTGTGTGTGTAGGGAACCCTACCTTTATGAGATGATGTTTCTTGGTCAGGTTGGGTAATTGCATAACATTGCACACGTAGTTTGTTTCAACTGGAGGTATCAGGAACTGAAAGCACAAACACGTACTTTATGACAACAAAAAACTCAACACATTGTCAATTACACATTCGTTGTAACACAATTAAATTACTAAACAGATATCGCGTTGTATTCAGAAATTAAATTGCCATTGATCAAGCAGGGATGATGAGGGGCGACACGGTGGCGAGATGTTAACTACCTCGCCTGGTATAAAAGAGGTCGTCGGTTCGATCATGACACTAAAACCTGTATATTTGGAGTTTGCATGTCTCTGGCGTGGATTCTTCTCCGGGTCCTCCGTTTTTTCCCTTCACATTTATAAAACGTGTTTAGAGTATTTGGCTGCTGTCAAATTTCCATGTGATAATCCACTTCGTTGAGCTATCATTTGTGATAGGTCGCTTCTGAAAAAGAGCTTTATAGCTCAGGGGCATTACCTGCAAAAATAAAAAAAATATATTTAAGTAGTTTTATGATCGTGGGTTGAGATTACCCAGAGCAACGATCGGCAGCGATGTGGCCAGCAGATGGCAGTACCGCCAGTCGATTTTGTGAATCTGCTTGTGTGGTTCTGTTCTATCCCCTCGTGCATGGATTTTCTCCAATTCTACACCATGTCAACAATAAAAAAGGTCATTAAATACGAATCGCGAAAGGCCTTTCCAGGGAGGCAAATGCGTTAATCCAAAATTTCAAAGTTACGGCAAAACACACCTTTTATAGCGAACTGGAAAGAGCATGCTCCCCCAATACTGCAGGAATGGGCCAATAAATTGTCAAAAATTGGAGCATCTAAGTGCAAAACTCAGGGTCAGGCAGGAAGCTTATCACCAAACATGGAAACCCCTTCACTACCTCTCCTCCAGTGGGCATTGATTATTAAGAGCATTCATTGGAGCATGAAGGCACCCCCCCTCTCCCTTTTGTTTCTTCGCTGACTTAGAGCTTATGAAGACACTAGGTGGGTTGTAGAGTTTATTTAAAGTTTTATTAAAAACATGCGGTTTAGACTGATTTCCATTGCACTGTAATCCGCAATGTGTGTTGTGGTGGTGGTGGCGGTGTAAACCCCATTTAATATCCGCTGTGTTGTGTACCCGAATCGTCTTGTTAATAGGAAAATATACTTTTGGAGAAAGAAAAAAAAACACACGAATCACCCAAACAGCACCGTGTGACCCTCTTGGGAAGGTATTGAGACTCGGGATATCTAAATGTCCAGAATCAAATGGCGTATATCACAGCAATGTCACACTAATGATTTCATTTTCCTGCTGGGACGCCACTATGGTGAGATAAATTCACTCGCACGGGGTTTTTTCTTCACACTTTTATTGAACTTGCCCATGTTGTCTGTTTATATTCTTTGTAATCTTTGACGCTTCATATATTTTCGGATCTACGAAGCCTAATGAGCTGACATTTTCTACACAGACTTTGCCTCCTCACGTGACAATTCAATACCGTATTTCATTAAAAAAAAACAATCCAGGTCCTGCCTATCATGGTCCTATTCGTATTAACTACATTTGACTAATTATTAGTTATGTATTTGACTCATTAATAATCCTATATTTTACTCATTAATAATCCTGCATTTAACTCATTATTAATGCTTAATTTTAATCATTAATCTTACATTTTACTCATTAATGCTACATTGACTAATCCTAAATTTTACTAATAATCCTACATTTAACTCATTAATGCTAAATTTTACTCATTAATCTTACATTGTACTCATTAATGCTACATTGGCTAATTGATCCTACATTTTACTAATTAATAATCATACATTTTACTAATTAATAATCCTACATTCCCCTACCCCCCCACACCTTTTGAAATTACGAATGTTCTCGCCCACCCACGACTGCAAACGTCTGAATCTTCGCTTAAAGCTTTTGTGACTGCAGGAATTCATATTTTTTGCAAGCGAAAAGCAGACCGCGACGTGATATCCATTACATTAATGCGTGTGCAATTTGTAAGGGCGCGGTGACACAGACATTTCATTTTAAGGTTATGATCCCTTGTTCATCATCACGTCCTTTTTAAAATTATTATTTCTATCAACTCACTCTGTTGTTGTCGTATCCTCAAATCTTGTAACTCAATTTTAACCCACTTCCCAATGTGGTATCGACTGCAAACTTGTTATACTTATGTCATACTGATGACAATACTATATTCTATCATTAATTTTTTTATATATATATATTTACATTATTTTTATGTTGTGTTTCGGCTTGGGTCTAATTGTTCACGGTCAACTGACGTTGGCTGTAACTGGCCACGGCCCCCTTACGTTGTGGCAAGCTTCCGGGCCACTTCCTGGAGTCGTGCAGTTCTGACATTACTAGTTCGTGTCTCAACAGCGTTACGGAGATCGCGTGACGTGAGGGTTCTGACTTTGTAGTGAGGGTTGTGAGTTGACGCCGAGGAGGGGGGAGGACGCGCCTCGGCCCCCCCCCCCATGTGGAGTGACGTCAGCCGCTAATTCTATTGAATGCTGGCGGGGTGTCCATTTGGAGGACGTCACCTTATTCTAGATTTGAAGCTTTCGTGACTGCAAGGATCCATACTCTTTGGTTCTATTCGGGAAAGTCACGTAGGTAAAAAATAAAACGACAAAAATCACGACGTTTCGGCCACAACACAAGCGGCCTTCATCAGGTGACGGGACCAGCGCTGGTGTTGTGGCCGAGACGTCGTGATTTTTGTTGTTTTATTTTTTACCTACGTGACTTTACCGAATAGAACCAAAGAGTATGACGTCACCTTATGATTATCAATGATGTGGAGTGACGTCACCTGCTCATGATTATTCATGAGGGGGGGGGTCCATGTGAAGGACGTAACCTGTTCATGATTATTAATGAGGGGGGCTGGTCGATGTGGAGTGACGTCACGAGCGTTAAGGACATTCCTGGGTGATTATAGTCGGTATTAGAATTTCGGCAGCCTACGGCCACCTTATTCCAATCTGATGTCCTCATATATAATCAGTAGATACTACTGACTTATATGTAGGTTGTGTAGGCATATATAGTCAGTAGATACTACTTTCTTCAACTTTTTGATTCAGGCCTTCTGAAAGGCTCTTATAATTTAGATGACGGACAAACGGAACGCCGTTCTTTTATAATAGAATAAGTTGAATCAATTCGTCAACAATTTTGCGTGCTTTTTTGCGGAGAAATACACATTTTTGGAGCAGTTGTTAGTGTCTGATTGTCGATAACAATTGCTAAAAATCATAGGTTAATTATCACATTCATTGAAAAAAATTTCCTGACGAAGACACGCTTCATGAACTCGTGAATAAATAAAATGAGTACAACTTCGCGAGCAGCCAACCAATGATCAATGGGTATGACAGCTTGTTGCACAACTGGCTCGGTTTAACTCGCACAGACGCACGAATGTACCAAGTCATTGCGGAAATCTCCATTTGGAATTTAAAAAAAAACTATTGCACAACGCATTTTTTTGTTCACATCCGACGCCGCGTGACAGTGTCTCAAACTTCCAGTTATTGTGCACACGTGCAATTCGTACGTGATATGAGACACTGTTGAAGGCATTTACGCATATCCGATTGTGAAAAGGTCGAAGAATTTCGAACATAATTTGCATTGAAAGTATTTGAATGTAGCTGCCCCAAAGTTTTGCAACCACCTCTAGTTTCGTCTCTTGGTATTTCCAGCCTGCTGTCTTGTCTATCCTCATTTAAACTGACGATTCACATCACTGATGTCCTCCACCCCCCCCCACCCCCATGTGTGCAGATTCCACTGACTCTATTGTATGTAGGGTGTATAGGCACCCTACACTGACTTGTATTATTGTATGTAGGGTGTGTTGGCATATATCGAGTCAGTAGATACTACTAAAGTTGAAGTGTGAATATAATTTATTACTTAACTTATTTTTGGTATCTGTATTGGTGGAATGCTTTGGTGTTGTCGCCCTCTGAAAAAGGAGAGCTTTTCTCAATCGACTTTATTCGGGAAATACACTTCTCATTCTGATACAACTAAACTAAATTGAAACAAATTTAGATTTAAAGCTTTCGTGACTGCAGTAATTCATATTCTTAGCTCTTTCGGTAATGTCACGTTGAAGGGAAACAATAAAATATATATAAAACAATAAAAATTCTCACGACGTTTCGACCATAACACAAACGGTCACACCTGATGACGACCGTTTGTGTTATGGTCGAAACGTCGTGAGAATTTTTATTTTATATATATATTATTATTTTATTGTTTCCCTTCAACGTGACTTTACCGAAAGAGCTAAGACTTTAAATTGAAACAATTTTTTTACCAGGTAAGATCCACTGAGCTATATATCTCTTTTTCAGAAGCGACCTAGCCACAGACGATAGCTCAACGAAGTGGATTTTCACGTGGAAACAGCCAAATACTATAAACGGATGACTCTGTCGAGGGGAAAACTATAGGACCCAGAGAAAAGTCCACGCGACCATGGGCAGAAGATGCAAACTCAAAATATATCACAGAATGGCGCGCACACCTGCGATGCGGTTGTGTGTACTTTTAAATGCGTCAGGGTTTAGTTGATCGAGCAGGGAACATCGTACGTGACAGGCCCAAACACAGTCGGTGTAATGGCAGTACAGCAAGGAGGTTGTCAATTAAATCTACTGAACAAACATTAGAGTGTCAATCCCGCCCCCTGAAGGATCTGATTCCCGACCAGTTGACCACAACAATCCAATGCAACCGGATTGACGGGGGCCCTTTGGAGTTACACAAGATGCATCCGACGCCGATATATATTTTATCACACACTCATCGTCATCGTCCATAATTCCCCGTCAATCCACACGAGCGAAGGCTGCCCGTCGCCTCACCTGGCTCTGCACCACGTCGAACGTGGAGTAGTTCTGCGGCAGGGGCTGCTCGGTGGGAAATCCTTGCCTCAGGAGCTGGATGCTCTTGGAGCCCCGCGTGGCCGCGCTGTGGTACGGGACGTCAGTCACGTTCTCGCTCTTCGGGTCGTCTGTGCTGTAGGCCCAGATCAGGCGCACCGTGTCCTCCTGTGTGTCGGCCGTGCGTGCGCGTGTTGCGTCGGAGTAGCATGGGGAGCCGTGGTGTCGCGGTTAAGCGCTACGAAACGCCGGCGGCACGAGTTCAACTTGTCACCCACCAGTGACCATTATCTGAACCGGTCCTGGGGCCCTCCCCTAGGTCGACTCAACCTCAAATGAGCACCTGGTGCGGTACGTAAACATCGCCACTGGGGGAGAAAAAGGCGGCCGGGCGTGGTGTTGGCCACTCACCCCCTCATGTGCCGTTCCAGCCTTCAGAGGTGCTTGCTCACTACACTTGCCACAACAGTTATTTTAAGGTTATGCTTGAGGATCTTTGTGTGCGTGTACACGTGTGTGTGTGTGTACACGTGTTTGGCAAAACTGCCAGGCGGGCAACGCTGTCGTGGGCAGTGCCGTGGGGGGAGGGTCAATTCAGATTGGCCTTTCCCCTCATGGCGTTTGTAACCATCACAGCGGCCAAATGAGGGCTCTGGACGGGTGCGAGGCGCTGGTAACCCCTCCACCTTCAATTAACTACCACTAAACTACGAGGTAAAACATTTATTAAGCTTGTGCCGGAGGCCCAGGGAGACAGGCGTCTATGACGTATCCTGGCCAGACCCCATTTGGCGGATCCAGGACACTGAATCCTTACCCTCGGGTCTCCTCCAGAAACAACAAAAAAACACTGTGTATGGACACGTGGAATGTTCGAACGCTCACTGCAGAGGAGAGGCTGCCACTCCTCTGTCGCGAGCTGGACTGGTACCGCCTGGATCTCTGTGGTATTCAGGAGGTCTGGTGGACCGGCTCTGACTCCTGCCACCATGAGGGATGGACAGTCCTCTACTCGGGGAAGGAGACTGCCAAACAACAGGGTGTGGCTCTTCTTCTGAATAAAATAATGAAGGGGGTGTGGGAGTGTGGCGGTGAGGTGTGGTAAGCTGCAAGCCCCAGGCTACTTTGGGCTCGCCTTCCCATCAACCAGAGGGCAAGGAGTGGTGGTTGTGGTTACTCATGCCCCCACTAAGATTAATATCTGTGGAGGAATGCAGGCAAGGCCGATGAGTCAGATGCCTTCTATGACCTCTTGTCACAGGTGCTAGCTAAAGTGGCCCCTCGGGATAGTTATCTTGTTGGGTGACTTCAATGCCCGAGTTAGTCATGCTGACACCTGGTCTGGAGTAATTGGAAGGCATGGGCCAGATCAGCTCAATAACAACGGCAGGAGGCTGCTAGATTTTTGTGCAGGCCATGGGCTCGTAATTACGAACACGCTGTTCCGGCATCGGCGCATCCACACCACATCATGGATGCATCCTGGGTCCAAGCAAGAACATCTGCTGGACTATGTAGTGACGGATGCAGGCCCATGTCCTTGACACCAGGACCTACCGTGGAGCTGATATGCCCACTGACCATCGACTTGTCATCTGTAAGATGCGCCTGCCATTCTTCCACTCCGGTGGTGGGTGTACACCCAGGATTCCATTCAAACCCTTAGTGGCATGGTCTCAGCTCGCTGATGAAAGTTACAAGCGAGAATTTAATCATCGCTTGCGGCTGGGGTTGGCATCGTCCCCCACTCCTCCTGATGTCGAGGGGAAATGGGCGAGGTTTAGGACTCTGGCTCATGCAGCTGCAATAACTGCTTTGGGTACACGGTCCAGACCTCCCCAGAGACTCTGGCTGACAGAGGAGGTGTTCAAGCTGGCTGAGAAAAAGCGACAGGCCCACTCTCATCGGCTACAGCATCCCATGTTGGAGAATGAGGCTTACCGCAGCCTTTGCTCGGAGGTTTGGAGAGCTGTGAGGCGCTGCAAGGATGTGTGGTGGTTGTGGGTTGCTGAGGAGATGGAGTCTGCCTCAGTGGCCCGTGATCACAAATCACTCTTTAACTCCATCAAAAAGTAACCTGCAGCACCACACCTACTACCATCATTAGGGGAAAGAGCGGTGATTCATTCTCTGACCCCCAGGAACATGTTTGCAGATTTGCTGAGCATTTCTGTGAGGTCTTGGGGGAGGGGACTTCCCTCACCCAGGAAAACAACATGGGATAAAGGGGGGATGACCCTGCCAAGGCTGCGGTGCCTCAAATATTGGAAGAAGAAGTCACCCTCTGTGAGTGGCTGGCTGAGGTGCCATCTGTGGAGGAAGTACTGAGGGCGATCCAGAGTCTGAGACTAGATGATCTACCAAGATAAATGCTGAGGGAGGGTGGCGTTTGTGCACAGACTGCCCTACATGACATCATAACAACAGTCTGGATCACTGGACGGGTTCTGCAGAATTGGAAGGATGCCTGGTGGTCCCCCTCTTTAAGAAGGGGGACCGCACAGACTGTAACAACAACAGGGGCATCTCACTCCTCAGTGTGCCGGGAAAGGTCCTGGCAAGGATTATTCAACATCGCCTTGCTAGGTACACTGAGGAGAGGCTTGCGGAGTCCCAATGCGATTTCAGGAAAGGGCGGTCCTGCACAGATGCCATATTTTCTGTCCGTCTGCTACAGCAGAGGTGTATGGAATTCCAACAAGACCTACATCTCTGCTTTATTGACCTAGTCAAAGCCTATGATACTATCAGTAGGCCTGGGCTCTGGGCTGTTCTTCGTGTAAAATAAATTAAAATGTTATTTTGTACCTACGTGACTTTACCGAAAGAACAAAAGAGTATGGATTCCTGCAGTCACAAAAACTTCAAATTAAGATTGTTCTTCGTGCTTTCGGAGTCCCTGACCCTCTGCTCACGATTATTAAGGACCTTCATGACGGTGAGCGGGCCCGGATATAACTACAAGTCCAGGAGTCAGAGCCATTCCCTGTACACCTTGGTGTGCGACAGGGATGTCCTCTGGCTCCCACATTATTTAACATCTATATTAACCACTTAGTTCATGAAGCCTTCAATAGCTATAACGGAGGAATTTCCATCTGGTACAGATACAATGGGAGGCTAGTCGATGCCCGGGTGCAGTCAAGGGATGGCTCCCTATTGCTCAACCACGTTACGTATGCCGATGATCTTATAATTGCTGCTCACTCAGAGGAGGAGCTGGAGGCGCTGCTGCTGAACCTGGAGCTTGCCACCAAGAGGTGGGGCCTTACCATCAGCTCCACCAAAACTAAGCACCTGCCTGGGTATTTTGTACCATTGGACACTCCACCCCCACAACTCCCAATTAGTGATAGGGCAGTTGTGGAGAGAGTGGAGAGTTTCCCATACCTTGGCGGTGTGCTCATGACCGGCTCCGGTTTAACAGCAGAGGTCTCACTCCGAATCAGTCGAGCGGCATTATCTTTTCATCGGTTGCGTAACACTGTGTGGAAGCTACCTGGTCTCTCACTCCACACGAAGCTTCAGGTCTTCTCGGCCACAGTAATTCCCTCCCTTCTCTACGTTTGCGAAACGTGGACCTCCCCTAATGGAACATCTTTGCCAGTTAGAAACATTTAGGCTGGTCTGCCTACGATCCATCCTGGGTTTAACCAGGCTGGATTGTGTGAGGAGCTCACAAATCCTTGAAAGATCTGGACAAAGTCCCATCGGTGAGCTCCTCCGGCAGGCAAGGCTGCGTTGGCTGGGTCATGTAGCCCACATGCCCAGCCACCGCATGCCTAAACAGCTTTTGTTCGGCCGGATCGAGGGGGCAAAATGGGCGCGGCACGGGCTAGAGAAGAGATGGAGTGATGTGGTACAGGAGGATGTGGAGCTGAGTAGACTTGCCGATGACTGGTACCAGCGGTGTCAAGATCGGCCTATGTGGAGGAGGCTTGTGAAGGACGCTATTCGGCAGTTGGAGGCAGTTGCCCTCCAACAATAACGGAGGGCGGAGGAGTGACGCTCACAACGAGTGGAGCGCCGGGTGGCTAAAGCACAGCAAGTCGGCCTAGTAGAGGGCACAGGTGGTGCATCAGCCAGTCGTCTCAGTCAGTCGACCCGTGGCATCTGCGTCTGCCCCGTGACCTCCTGCCAGCGGGCGTTCGACACTTCACGTGGCTTCAAGGTGCAAATAGCCTGGCACAAGCGTTGTGGTGACGTCACCGCCACTTAGTGGCGAGTGGCGGTTGTTGTTGTACACGTGTGTTTGTGTGTACACGTGTGTGTGTGTGTGTACAGGTGTTTGTGTGTACACGTGTGTGTGTGTGTACACGTGTGTTTTTGTATACTCGTGTGTGTGTGTGTACACGTGTGTTTATGGGTACACGTGTGTATGCACGTGTGTACACGTGTGTTTTTGTTTACTCGTGTGTTTTTGTATACTCGTGTGTGTACACGTGTTTGTGTGTAGACTGTGTGTGTGTGTACACGTGTGTGTGTAACACGCACGGTGATGTTCCTGTCGTTGGCGTCATACGTGCGCAGCGCGCGCACCACGCGCATGACCGTGTGGGTGCCGTTCTCGCTGAGCCCCACGAGTTTGTAGTCCTGGCTCGCGTCCCGCACCAGGCTCCGATCCATCTCGATGTGTGCGTCCTGATCGCCCGAGGAGGAGGGGAGAAGGAGGTGAAGATGGCAGGTACAAGGATTCGAAATTAGGACGAGATGATATTTAATGCGTAACACCCCTAATAATACCTAAAAGCATGTTTACCAGGTTCGTGGGAGTAGGGTTGAGAAATCCGGATTATAATGCAAAATGTTATCCGTCAACAAATTCGACATTCACTCCGAATATTCTCCACTGGTAGCTGCCTTTATGAGCGTGCTCGCTTCACTGGCATGGCTTATCTGTTAAGAACAATAGGGTTATTGCCGGGAACATCGCCTATTTTTTTCTTTTAACGCCACTGTTATTGCTGAGTTGTTATTATTGCCGTTCTTCATTATACTTGTCTTGTGACATCGCTGGATGGCTGTGAGTGCAGTGCCGGCCCTAAAGGACGGGGTGTGTGGGTGCCGACCAAAGGATAAGGTTGTGTGGGGCCATGCCACTCTGGTTGACCCGGGAGGACACGTGACCGGTTAAATTGACAGAGGGGCCCTAAGAGAGGGCTGGGGGGGGGGGGGTCACGTTATTGGGACCCAGATCCTTCCCGAGGGTTCTGGAAGGTGGACGTGGCCAAGGGCGGAGCCGGCCACGCCACAGAGAAGATAAACCGGGTCTACGATCTCCGTTCAACAAGTCTTCCAACACGTGGACCCGGGCAGATGTTGTAGTCCCGGGTCCGTGGTAACAGTCACGTGGTAACTAGTGTAGTCAGCCGGGTGGTCACCACCTTAGGTTGTTATTCTGTTAAGGGGAAGTTACCCTGTGTGTTGGAACTGAATAAATGTGTTGCCTCCAAAGTCTACGTCTGCGACTCATTTGAACACATTACGCTTGTGCATCACTGTCAATGCAGCAGCAGCACCTCCAAATAATTTGCCATGGCTGGTTAAATTGCTGTTATATCCAAACCAGTTTTTAACCTCTGCCTCTTTTAAGGATGAGACGTAATTTATAGGGGTGCCCCACAGCTCCCTTACTGCCTCCAACATATGATAAAAACAATCCATGTTCGCTTACAAGACACCTAAATGCGCACCGTCTCCCGTATTTGTACCGGGTTCCTCATTGCATGTTGTTATTGTTAGTGTAATCATCACAATCAATACCAGAGGTAGCTTGACTTCATCATCTTCACATACACACAAAGACAAAGACCCCCCGTATAGCCTTAACAGACTGTTGGGGCAAGTGCTGTTAGCAAGCACCCGTGAAGGCCGACACGGCACACGAGGGGGTGGGTGGCCAACACCACGCCCGGTCGCCTTTGTCTCCCCAGTGGTGATGTTTACACTCCGCACCAGGTACTCATTTGAGGCTGATTCGACCTAGCAGAGGCCCAGGAACGGTTCACATAATCGTCACTGGTGTTGTCCATGTGCAGGAATCGAACCCGGGTCCCCGGGTTCCCGGGTTCATAGCGCAGTGTGCAAACTCCTATACTACCGCTTCCTACACACACACACACACGTGTACATACACATCTATACCAGCAGTAGCGCAATGATGCTGTGATGAAGATGTTGGTGACTATAATAATTATGAAGGTGATTGTGACGATGATTATGATGTTGATGATAATGACGATAAAGATGATGGTAGTGATTATGGTTGTGATGATAATGCTGATTATAATGATGATGGATGTGTGATCTTGATAACGATCATGATGATTTTTATCATTATTTTTTTTTAAATCAACATCGCGACAATCACTGAGCATAAAGCATGCATGGTGCTCATAATGATTTTAGTCATTGCGTCCTGACACCGTGACCAAAAATCGAAGCCAGTTCGTTGCCTGCCACTCACCACGAGGTGGGTAGCGGCTGCGCTGTCCACCCACCCGATCACCACGTCAGAGCCGGCCATCATCCCCGTGGAGCTCAGACCCAGCCCGACCCAGCCCCGGGTGCGAACCCGAGCTTCCAGGACGATCTGGTCGCTGTCGAACGCCCACGAGAGGTGGAAGTCGTCAGGAGCCAGAACCGCGCTCAACGTGAGATTGGTCGTGGCGTTCAAAGAACAGGACACCTTCATCACCCCCACAATCATCATCATCATTATCACCACCGGTGCCATCATCTTCGCCGACATCGATGGATTGGGTCACGGTGAGACGCGGTGCTGCCAGTGAAGACGGAGGACGCGAGGCCTTTATAAGACCGGTAGCAGTGGGAGCGGAGATAGACGAGGAAGGTGGGGTCACGGAGGGGTAGGGGCGGTTACATATTTGGTGATCAAACGCATGCCAGCAGGTCATATAAACTTAGTTGGGTATCGTATTACGGAACAATTGCTGAAATCAAAATGCATTTATAAATGGATAGATGACACCTAGGTGCGTGACTTAAAAAGTACATCTTCTGGGTTCTTTCGGTAAAGTGACGTACAATATTATTTTTATTATTTCATTTCCCTTCTACGTGACTTTACCGAAAGAACCCAGAAGATGAATCCCTGCAGTCACGAAAGCTTTAAATCGAAAATTAAAAAGTACAGTTTACGCTTTAGTTTAATTCAACCGATTGCAACAACAGATTTTTACGTGATTTGTTTTGCACGTGCGAGAAAGCGCACGGTATTGTAGAAGGTGAAAAGCTTCACTCAGTGTCCATTTAAACGCCGCGGTGGCACGCGTGGCTTGTAATCCAGCACGGTGGAGTCGAAGGTTGGTGGACCGCACGAATATGTCATGGTCACCTTTCTATGTCATGGCCGTGGATGCCACGGTGGCAACGAACCTGCTAAACTACCGCTCCCTACGCACATAATACAGGGTTCGATTTGCGATCCTGACGCCCTGTATATTTGGAGTTTGCATGCTCTCTCTTCCCCCTTCTCGTCTAATTCCAAGCCATTACGCCCCAAGATTGTTTTCGCACAATTTTTTTTCTGTCCAATTTGTGTCCTTGTATAGTTTCTGATTCAGCTCATCGCAGGTGGGACACACAAACCACGTGCTGCCTCAGGCACATTGGTATGTTGCTCTTCGTCATTTCCAGATTTTCAAACATCAACTTCAATGAGTTATTCTGGTATCTGCCGGCTGTGTTTTGTAGTTGTGCAGTCCCTGCAAGAGATATCTTCTTCTTCAGATATTTATCGAGCTTCCTGTGTGATGTACAAATATCATGTGGAGGATTTTGAGTCACGTTATGCCCATCTCATATTTCACTCTCACGTGTTTAAAACTTGTGATTTTCACACAAAGTTGTAAAACTCCATATTTTATTTGAACTTTTTTTTTATTTTACCAGGTAATGCCCACTTAGCGATATAGCTTTTTTCAAAATTGACCTGGCCACAAATGATAGCTCAACGAAGTTGCTTATCATGTGGACATTTATGGCAGCACAATACTCGAAACGCACGTTGACTCTAAATGTGGAGGGAAAAACCGGAGGACTCGGAGACAAATCCACGCGACCACGGGGAGAGACACGCGAACTCCAAATATACAGGCGTCAGGGTCGGGATTGAACCACGACCTCCTGTATACCTCGCGAGTTCAATCTCTCCACCGTGGTGCTAATGTCGAGAAGGAGCCATACCCTGGCTCTCTGGGAAAGGCCGTGCAGCGAAAATGTGGACTCATCCCGTTCCGTCTGTATTTTTTCTGCAAGCGCTCATAAAATAGGTTGAAAACATCTTAACATATAGAGAACTGCAGAGCTGGGGGGTGGGGGGAGGTTGGCACTGGCTCACCACCTGGCTGCCTTTCCCACATGCTTCTGATTCCTCCAAGACGCCTCGGAAGTCGTTCTCTCTTGCCGTGGAGAGTGGAAGAATCGTGAACGGCGCGTTGCAAGTTGAAATGATTATTGGTATATTATACTCTTTGGTTCTATTGGGTAAAGTCACGTAGGTGAAAATAAAATAACAAAAAATCACGACGTTTCGGCCACAACACAAGCGGCCTTCATCAGGTGAAGGGACGAGACTGTCTGGAGGACAGCGCTGGAGTGGAAGAAGCCACGCTTAGATCACGACCTTTAAGCTGTGTGAGAAGCAAAGACCACGCTCCTTGATAAAGGAATTAGCATATAATTTAGCATTGAAATGGCTCATTGAAATAGCTAAGTTAAAGTATACACATCCGCAGAGGTACCCCTTGACAAAGGAATTAGCGCTGGAGTGGAAGAAGCCACGCTTAGATCACTCCAGCGCTAATTCCTTTGTCAAGGGGTACCTCTGCGGATGTGTATACTTTAACTTAGCTATTTCAATGAGCCATTTCAATGCTAAATTATATGCTAATTCCTTTGTCAAGGCGCGTGGTCTTTTTCTTCTCACACAGCTTAAAGGTCGTGATCTAAGCGTGGCTTCTTCCACTCCAGCGCTGTCCTCCAGACAGTCTCGTCCCTTCACCTGATGAAGGCCGCTTGTGTTGTGGCCGAAACGTCGTGATTTTTTGTTATTTTATTTTCACCTACGTGACTTTACCCAATAGAACCAAAGAGTATGGATCCTAGCAGTCACGAAAGATTTAAATCTAGTATTGGTATATTCATTGATGGACGCTCATTGGGCGGTGAGATCATGTAGTTGCGACCGATGCGCTGAAGATTCCATGGACATGGAAAACATTTTGCTTGCAGCGCACGGGCCGCCATAGCACCCCCCCCCCCCTCCAACCTCGCTTTAAACGAAAGGAAAACGCTCTTACAGCTCAGGCAATCCAGTAAGCAGCATTTATTTAACGAGGTACACTCTACTGATGAGTCTCAGAGAAGCTGAAACCGGTCCACGGATTGTCTGTTTAAACAACTGGTGCGAACATCAACACAGACCCCACGTGGTCCATTTTTTTGGTAACAGTCCACGTATATCGTATAGTTCGCCGTCAACAGCACAGCACAGTGAAGTGTGACTATTCTACCTGTTGGACACAATACAGGCCTCGGTGCTTTGAAGTGACAACACGGCCACACTCTCAGCAATGTTTAGTTGGTGGTCTGGATGAGGCTTAAGAGCAATTGTTGTTTCCCTTCAACGTGACTTTACCGAAAGAACTAAGAATATATATAGCAATTGTACAATACAAGGCACATATGTGTGTGTGTTCTTAAATATATGCGATACCAGGCGCTTGTCAGCTTACAACATTTTCTGGGCTCCCTTTTCCCATTTGCTTAGTCACAGAGCGCTCTAGCCAGTAGGAGCAGCATAAGAGTGGCGAGCAGAGGGGCAGTCGGCGAGGCGGCGGTGGTGGCAGGCAGGCTGCCGTTTCTCCCGCACTTATTGTGGACGCAGGGAGGAGGCGTGGGATCAGCGGGGATTCTTGGGATGATTCCATCGTAGATTAAGTTGACGGAGGACTGTGTGGTGAAACACGCGCACGCAGATTCAGGGGAGGAGGATACGCACACGTGAGGAACGCCACGTAACACACGTCATGTGTCACCTCTTCACCCGATAGCCGAGTCCTTGTCCCATCCAATCAGAGCCCGTCACAGATTCACCCGATGTAAAGCCCGCTGCCTCGTGATGAAGAACACTTTCCTTTTTTTGCTTTACCCGTCGAACAAAGACGGTGGTCACCACATCGCGCAGCGCTTTCGGATGCACTTCTGCGGACGTCTGGAACGCTCTTCCTTCCGATATTAGGACGCCACTGGAGCTATGCACCTTTAAATCTAGACTGAAAACTCATTTCTTCACAACTGCTGGTTGTGTTAGTTTGTAGTCTTTCCAACCGCATCTCCAATGAGCACGGTTGGCCACGTATGGTGCAAAAGAAGTTCAATAAACATACATTGCCTCAGCTGACAGGGAACCATCCGACTTCGATTCAGAACTCGTATGTCATACAAGTTAAAATTTCCGTTTCATTCGGTTCAGAATTTCTGACTCAATCTGTGTATCTCATCCAACACAAAACCACGGTCTCCTAAAATTGTTAACTCTTTCACTCGATGCAGAACCCTCATCTCATCCACCACACAACCCCTATCCATCGCAGAACCCCTTCCACGTATTGAATTACTTGATAAATACAACACCTCAGCTCTTCTTATGGGGAAACTCAATCTTATCCGAGACGGAATGTGAATTTAAATAATGCAAATGGAATTTGTGGTGCCATGATCACGGAGCAACTCCGCAAGCACCGCGATTGTCCACTACCCCCCACCCTGAGCACACGCACACACGCAGCACATGCACCCACGTAGTGTCCTGGCGGGGGATTGCCTGGCACATCGGGTTTTAATCCGAAGGACCCCTAGAAGGGAAGTCCCACGGTTTCCCGGTGCCAGGAGATTGGCCGACCCTCGCAGGACAGGTTACATTGCGATGCCCCTAAAATTGGTTTAAACTTGTATGGGCGCAGAAAGCAAGGTTCTATGGGCCAACCGCTATGAGTTACTCACAACATTGGGGGGAGGACAGAGGGTGGAATATTAAGCAAGAAAAGCGTAAGCCGGGCGCCCTCCCAGACAATGGGCAACGAGGGACAATGGGTGGCCGGCGACCGCCGCCGTGGATCAGAGGAAGGACGCGGTAACATGGGGACGGTAACCACAGGTAAGCGCACAATTGGCTGCACGGTGCGACGTCACCCTGGGCCTTTGAAGTTTAAGGGATAAAAAGAGTGGCCCAGGATGATTTTGGTCTCTTGTCTTCAACCCCTGGGCCGTCAAGACCCCCCACCCCCTGCCGCCCTGCCTCTTCGAGCCGCTCGCAGCATCCGTGTGATGCCAGTCAGTGCTGCTACGAGGCAGTGATAGGTAAAGTTTTCTCGCGTCCTCCCTCCGACTCTCACAGCGTCTGTGCGAAGCCGTGATTACAGCTTCGAGGTACGTAGTAGGACGTTTGAGTGACTGGGTTCGTAGGCAGAGTTAGGCCAAGCTCTTCTCGCAAAATATTCCCCCAAAGTAGAGTGTATTTGCGCCGTTAATAAACTTTGGTACAGAGTATCGGTGCAGTGTGATTTCTGTGTGTGTGGGTGGAAACTCGGCGTGGTGTTGGTAATTTGAGTGTGTGCTAGGCGCGCCTGTATTAAAAACATAAACGGCCGCCAACGCTCGCACGTCTGTGGAACCGTACCGCGCGAATATTAGGGAGGGGTGCGTTAAACCTGCTTGCCGACGCTCGCACGTGTTCGCACGAAATCAATAGCATTAACGGTGGATCGCGCGCGTGTATTGAAACATAAACGGCCGCCGACGCTCGCGCGTCCGTGCAGCCGTGCTGCGCGAATATTAGGGCGTGTGCAGAGTAACCCAGTGCGGCGGTGAGCCAGCTCTGTAGCCATGTCCCTCAGAGAGAGCGCCAGAGCGGGGGGGGCCGATCACCCGGTCGGCGGGTGCCTGGCAGGGGCCCGGCGGGAGGCGATCGACGTGG